TCGGCCTAGGGCCTCAATATGCATAGTACCGTTGGCACTCATGTCCTTCCAATCATTTACTATCGATCGGGTACACAATGTCGAAGAACGCGTCCTTTGTTCCTTCTTGCTTCACCTCGAAGCTTCTCGAAAAAACAAGATGACTGCCGCGCCGACACGCCGTTCTCTTAAACACGTTGAGGTTATTTTCTTCGGTTTATTTAGACCCGCGTGTTTATTTGCCTGGGCCCATAACCTGTTGGAGGTTGGCTGACAAATGGAAACGAAACACTCGTCTAAATTTTAAACAACCGATTTATATTGAACTCGAAAATACAAAGTGAAAAATTAATTGTGTACAAAGGTTGATTAGTAACTAACTATGACAACGGAAACAATAAAAAAACGAGAGCCCATGTGTGGGCGAAACCGGCGGACCACGTGATTTCCAACACTTCCCCTCGACCAACATCCGAAGAGAAAACCATTGAGTTATCTTGGTCTACGGGAATCCAAACCAAGACCTTGGACACAGCTCTCGTGCTNCTCGGAGGCAAACTGTACAGCAGTTGGATGGTGAGTTGATCCGCGTCCAGTCTGACGTCCATTTCGGATAGCTTGTCGACGTTTCCGAAAAAGTTGCCAAGATGATCGCGTACATCACTACCTTCTGTCATCTTCTGCATCATCAGACTTTTGAGCAACGCGGCCTTGCGAGCCGGCCCCTTCGACTGATTTGTGCTTTCCAGCTTGAGCCACATCTCGCGAGACGTTTTACAGTGCTTTACTGTCATCAACTGGTTGTCACTGAGGGATAGAGTGATGTCGGACACCACTCTTGTACATCGACGTCGTTAACATTTTTATTTTTCGTCGGATCTGGTTTGGTCAAAGTTCCGTTGACATAACCCCACATACCATTCTTGACTAAAACGGCGCGGATCCTCAGTTTCCACATATCGTAATTATCTCGGCCTAGGGCCTCAATATGCACAGTACTGTTGGCACTCATGTCCTTCCTTTTATTTACTATTGATCGGGTACACAATGTCCAAGAACGCGTCCTTTGTTCCTTCTTGCTTCACCTCGAAGCTTCTCGAAAAAGCAAGATGACTGCCGCGCCGACACGCCGTTCTCTTGATCACGTTGAGGTTATTTTCTTCGGTTTATTTAGACCCGCGAGTTTATTTGCCTGGGCCCATAACCTGTTGGAGGTTGGCTGACAAATGGAAACGAAACACTCGTCTAAATTTTAAACAACCGATTTATATTGAACTCGAAAATACAAAGTGAAAAATTTAGACGAGTGTTTCGTTTTCATTTGTCAGCCAACCTCCAACATATAATACATAAAAAATCGGCCGTATTTGTCTCATGTTCATATCAGGTCAAATTTTAACTTAGAATAGCCATGTGTTTACAAACTTTGAACTTCTTTCTCGCAGGATGATCAATATGCTATATATATATATATATATATACACCGTACAACTTCTAAGTTGTGGAGTTTGAAACTTTACCCGACGAAATTATATTTTTCAACAGCCGTCTCGAACTTCTTCGAAACAGTAAGAATATCCGGCCATTCTATATCTTCTGAAACTTTCGTCACTAAATATAAGCAATACATCATCTAATATAAACGAAAAGCTATGAACTTTCAGTTTTAATATGCGATTTTTAAATTTACAATTCGAGAAACTTATACGGTTCTGAATGAATATGGTAAAAAATATATCACTTAATTTAAATTTAAATCATCATAAGGCTGTCAGTCAGCATTTTCATTGTTCTTCTATAGCTTCAAAATCTGAATGATTTCGAATCCTTTCTTGTCTGCCGCGCTCACCGTCTACGTTTAGTCTTGCCAGTATAAAGGTCAAGACTATCTTTATACTAGCAAGACTATATTTATACTGGCAAGATCAAGACCGAGCGAACAAGACCAAGACTAAAATCAAGACCGAATATAAAAAGCCAAAACCAAATACGCAAGACTAAACGAAAAATTATTACATCCAGTGGATTTATGAGTGAAACTATTTGAAACAACTTTAACATTTGAAATTATTAGTTTTCCTTTACTAGATTTTAACACTAAATATAACATAAAAAAAACAGTGTTTGAAAAAAGAGATCTCCAAGGAAGTCCTCGGAGCAAGTCTTCTTTATTCTGTTCTTTTCTTTATATAACACATGATTGAAGTATAGAGACAAACTATTTTTTTTTTGTTTCTTTCGTCTACCTTGTACTATTTTTTTGTTAAAAGATTGATTTATGCTTTGGAGAATGGGTAAGTTCTCAAAGGATGGGTGTCAATAACCTAAATAATTTCCCCTGTAATTCACGAAAAATTGAATAATAGCCGAAGAACCGAATTAATATATTTTTTCAATACTAGATTATAAACTCCGTGCGTTTTGGGTAATATTTCTTACCTTTCGTAATTATCTTCGTTTTTATTTATAGTTTAAAATTGAGTATTTTAGGGAATCTTTTCAAGTAGCTTTTACATTTTTTTGTACATCAGCGCAATCTTCCAACACTTTGTCTTTTACATATGGGATGTAGCATATTGTTAACAATAATGTATATAAATATTAAAGTGTTGGTCCAGTGCGCTCATATATTGCGCGAACGTATACGTAATAACAACTAAAAACTATTGTCGACGATTCTCCTTTATTTTTAGAACCTCCAGGAATTAAAAGGGAGGGGCTGTTTTGCTCATATTTTCCCTATGCTTTAGAACAACGGTCGACAACTAGCGAACCGCGGTCCAGGTCCGGATTATAGAAGTTTGATAGTTATATATTTTTCTGGAACTCCATAAATAAAAAATTTTCGAAAGTATCCGGTCCCCACCTAACATTACTTGATTACAAAATAATATGCAATTAATTATTTACCGTCTATGAAATTACATTATATTATATATAATATTGGATGGTGAGTTGATCCGCGTCCAGTCTGACGTCCATTTCGGATAGCTGCAAGCGATTAATCATATGCAAGAAGCTGTACTTCCATTATTAATAAACGTTGGATTTGCAAAGGTAAGTCAAAAACATTTTTGGAAGATTCTAATAGGACCGGTAAATTCTATTAGGGGCTGTTGACATAACTTATGGTATACTGTAGCCAGTTACCTACAGGGGCTTCTCAGGGAGGTTNAAAATATACCTAACTTATTGACACCCATCCTTTTCATAACTCTCATAACTATCGACACTATTTTCTTTATTTGCATTTATGGGATATATATTAGCCTTTGGAATTTGCTTCCTTACTTCTGCCTAGGATTATCTTCTGAAACAAACATGTATTATCTGAACGCGTACTGAATAACACTATTAAGTATTCAATAATAATTTTAGTAGGTACTTACTCACTCGTATTTTGGCAACAGGCTCTTCACTTCACCGTTTGGATTCTTAAGACACTTTTAGACCAAACAAACGTACACTTATGGAAACGCTCATGCTTCTGGTTGTTATGGTGCCACCTGGAATTAAGTTTAATCGGTACATTAAATTTTAGTAGTATGGTAGTATCAAAATTAGGTTTAGTGAGACATAAATCCAAAAACTAAAACTGATAATTCGAACCTGTATCTTTTTCACGTCTTTCAACCAGCGATTAAAGAACAGTGCATACATGAATTTAACTTCTTTTATATGCACGATCTTTTATGAGAATGCGAAGTCACGCAGATTTAAATGCCAAAAATATCTTTAATGTGACTTTCATACCATCTGATACAATCTAAAATTTAAATTAGGAAAGCGAGCAATTCTGAGAAATTGGTTAAATTATCTGAATGTCCGAAGGAGGAACAGCTTTAAATGAGCGCGATATTGACAGAAAATCATACACGGAATAAAAATAAATAAAAGTAGACAAAAAAGTGGTATGTAAGAGAAGTGAGTAGGGTTGGAGCAATATAAAAATTGCAGACGAAATTGCAGGGAAGTCAATTGAATCCGAATGGAAGAGCGTAGATGAAACATAAAACAATGACCAAAGCAAGACAGACGATTTTAAGAAAAAGAAGTCGCTTTTATGTTCCCAAACGGTCTAAATACGGATAGGATCAACACAATGCAAATCAGTGGACAATAAGGACGGGGACGGAATGGATTACCGGGTCTCCGGCTCTTCTCGTCAAGTGAGCCAGTAGCCAGGATAATCTTGTCGAAACTTAGACTCTTGAATGGCTAGATTCTAGAATACCAAGGAGTTCTGAAAATACAGATGTTGAGACTCTGCAAGTTTCGTCCTCTTTTGATTAATGGGATGAGCCAATTGCCAGCATGAAACCTCGAAATCCAGACTCTAGAATGTCTAGAATTTCAAGGAGTTCTAAAAATGTACTAACTGGCATTGCAAAAAAATCTCCTGATCTTTTAGATCGTTATGCAGATGTTGATGCTCTGCAAGTTTCGCTCTTTTGATTCATGGTGTAGGCCCACATGCTCCTCCACTACTATCAGATTTCAGACATTGTGAATCTATTACTCCTACATGCAACTAAGCTAATAATAAAAACACCCTTCAGAACACACGACGTCTTTCCGCTTTCGTTTCCACCGGAACACGAACTTAATTGAGAAATAGGAAAGATATTACAATTGGAAGCACAGCTCTGTCTGACTGTATAAATGACTAATTACCTAGAAACATGCTAGAAGTAAAAACAGGAGTAATGGGAGGAAGAGGAAGTCGTATACTACATTACCGTTCGGGAATTGTGAAGATTGATTCAGGATCATGAATAAAATTTATTAATCAAAGTAATTGCATATCTCTGTCCCATCTCATAAACAACGTTGAAAAAGTTTCCAGCCGCAAAACAGTTCAACAGAATGAAATTGTTGGCGAGCGCTACGTAGTTCGTTGTTATTCGAGGTCAAAGGGGTCCTTAATTTGGAACGTTCCGTCGTAGTCCGTAGGAAGTTACAAGTATTAAGCGTTTATTATGTTTCTTCTCATTATGGGTACCGTAATTATTATTGTCTGTTGTGCGCGTGCCGTACACAATAAAATTCACCGCCACTACTACCAGTAAAAGGATCGATGATTGCGCGTGTCTGTTGAAGACCGAGACAAGCAAGCCACCAAGAGGGTCTTCGCTGTTGTCGTTACCGGCTGATGTCCAATTTAATCCGTCAGTTTTCGTATAATCTGCCGAATGAACGGTTGCATCTACAACCATGATCCGACAGGCCGGTATCTGTTTGGTGCTAATTCTCTGCGTGTCTGACGTTTTTCCGACCGATAGAGTTTTCCGGCTACCCAATATTTCCCAAATTGATGACCAAGAACTCAAAAGCATCGGAGTTGATCGCTTTTTTTCCCTATTCTCTGTTTTTACAAACGATAATGTGGTCGTTTCAGGTAAGAATGTTGTTTTTATTTTTTGTCATTTNCTTAGAAAATTATATATAAGTTTATAATTCTGTTTATAACTTTCCAGAAAGCGTTGAAAAGTAAACGTTATCTTACAAGAAGATTCAACACTGTTCACAGCAAACACCCCATTTCAGGACCAGCACTCGGTAACAAGTAATCAGTTTCTCCACAAAATGATGGTATCTCTTGGTTAAAACCGAAAATAATATGCAAGACAACTCCTCTATGTATAATTTTCGCCGTCTACCCTACGTTATTTATTATTTGTTGGATAATACAACACTAAATAATGATAACGAGAAAGCTTTAATAATACTGTACTGCACTGTACTTGCTGTGCTTTATCTACTATATATATATTTATATTTATTTAACCAGCAAATACAAAATACATAGATTACAAACTGCCCATGTATCCCCACAGGGATAAATATTATTATCTGTTGGTGGGACTGGTAATTATATAAAAAATTTAGAGGTTCCTTTTGCTTAGAGCTACTGAACATTATAGTAAGTTTGCGATTATAACAGTATTAATATGAAATCTGAAAACTTGAATTAACTTTAAATACCCGATAGGATTCATTATTAACTGCTAATAGAGTCTTCGACATTTGCTTTTTTCTTTATTGTCTTCTCAAGCCTGCATAATCAACAGCAGTTTTCATAATGGACAATATTTTAAGTCGTTCGTGTAATTATTTTAACGCAGTAATTAAAATTACTGAAAATTTTGACTTTAAAAGCCTTTCTCATTCTTGTAAATCCACTCAAATTTGTCAGAACTGATTGTACCTATACGTTGCGATTGTGATAACCAATTCTTAAAAAGGTACCTTCATCAGCTGGTGTCCCTTGGTAATCCTTATTTGCAATTTAATGGAGTATTGTGTTGAGAACTTAATGCGTGGGATTTTAAACCTTTTGAACATTGATCATATTTATTACTATCTATTATTCAAATAATAGTACTTAAAAACACCTACAACTGTCATCGTATGTATTATACCAAATAATGGAAAGATTATTTTAGAAAAATTTGAATATCCTTCCAATAACTTTACCTTAAGTTGACGTGGGATTGACCTTTATACATACGTACCTGCATTCTGTTTATAGGTTTCAAAATGTTGTAGGATACCACATTATAACTGATTTTTGTCAATGAAATAGTAAATATTACGTTTACTGTACATAATATTTTAAGTTAATTTACTTTGTTGTTACAGTATTATGAATTTAATGCTTCTTCTTAATTCGGTACACCCAGTTTTAGAAAATAATGAAGTAATTTATTAAGTTTCAATTTTATTGTATATCTACCTACATTTCAGAATATTAAATGTAAATGTTTAAAATTTAGTTAACAAAAGTTATAAACTAAACGTTTGTAGCAGCGTGGCGGCTTTAATAAATTCCTGTGCATATTGCTAATCGTTTGTTATGAGAATTAAAGAAATATTGCAGTTATTTCATTTCATAAATTAGGTATTCCGACATCTTCATAGTTTCACTGTAATTCTGTTGAGAAATAAAATGTTTTTATTTGTTCGGTACGTGTCAAATCTAAATCATCAAAAGTACCTTCAAATGAAAACTTTCGAAATCATAATCCATTTGTGATATTTTAAAGACCATTAAGTTCAAACCCCTGAAAACTCATTTCATGTTAACGTCTTTCCATGTTCGCTTTACGGTTTTTCTTCATTTTGGGATCCCTGGAACGTTCCTTATTTATACTAAATACTCATGAAGCATTAAAAAAAGTTATCAATTGAAAGTAATGACACAACGTACTAAAATACTAATCATCGTCATAATGAAGTCTTCAATCCAAAGATTGTCATCTATTTGCGTGCAACTTAAAATGTCTCCTTCTAATGTAACTCACATGTTCCTTGTTCACTTTCATAAAGCTCCATGTTCTCCTACTACTTCTAATACCTCCTCATAAGTAGTCTTTTCTATTCATCACGGTATTTTCAACGTACCCCAATAATACCACATTTCATATGATTTTAATTTTTCCTTTTTCATTACGTCCATGTCCACATTTCACTCCAATACAAAGTCATACACCAATACATTTTCTGTTACATTTGTATTATTTTTTAACGAAAGTGTAGATCAATGAAATTTAGCCGTTCTTCAAAAAATGTTTTCTCGAACTCAAAAAAACAAAACAGATATCAGTTTTAAGTATGATTTTCTCAACAAGTGAATTCTTTTCCCATTGAAGCAATTTTTAATTATTAAAAAAATTAAATAAATCGGAAAGTGACAAATCAGAAGTGTATGGTGGATGAAAAAACATTTCATGTCGCAATTCTACCATCCGCAATAGAGACAGAACGTTTTTCTTCACGAAACGAGGTCGTTTTCAATCAACTCACTAAGAAATTTGTAAAGAAATAAAGCATAAAATGCTACTGTCATTCTCTTTTCGAGAGAGTCGAGGAATATAATACATATCTTGTAAGTCTTAAAAACCCGTGACCCTGACCTTACCGACGGACAGAACTGTATTCGCCATCTTCGGAGCTTGTTCACCGCCAGATATTCACTGTTTTGATTGTCCTTTTGTCTCAAGTGTTTCGTCAACAGTTAAGTACATATCGGTGGAAGAGTACGGCAGTTACACATGTTTAAGCACCGCTGGGAAGCTTTCACACACTTTCATGGACAACCATGAGCAAATCCAGCAACACTTTTAACGATAATTTTTTCATCCCTAAATGTTCATACGAGGGTGGATTGATAAGTTTCCGGCCTGACCAAGAAAAACAAGGTTTTTAAAAATTTTTTTTTTTTATTTCTCAACATAATCTCCTCCAAGGCTGATACATTTCTCATAGCGGTGTTCCAGTCTATTAATGCCATCTCTATAGACTGATTCGTCAAGCTCCTCAAAATAACCATTTACAGCTTCGATTACTTCTTCATTGTCCGCAAATCTCTTACCGCCAAGCCATTTTTTGAGATTAGGGAACAGAAAATAGTCACTCGGGGCTAGGTCTGGAGAGTAAGGAGGGTGCGGCATCAATTCAAACTTTAGATCGTTGATTTTAGCCGTCGCAACGATTGACGTGTGCGCTGGTGCGTTATCGTGATGAAACAAGATTTTTTTCTTCGCCAGATGAGGTCGTTTAATTTTCACCTCGTGGCTCAAACGTTGCAATAAGTCTGCGTAGTATTGACCAGTGATAGTATTACCCTTTGCAAGGTAATCAATGTATATAATACCTCTTGCATCCCAAAAAACAGTAGCCATAACCTTGTTCGCCGAAAAAATTGTTTTTGCCTTCTTTGGAGTTGGTTCCCCTGGTCCAATCCACTGTTTAGACTGTTCTTTGGTTTCAGGAGTGTAGTGGTGGACCCACGTTTCGTCAACGGTTACGAATCGACGCAAAAATTCGCTTGGATTACGCTTATACAATGACAAATTTGCGGTAGAAATGTTTTTTCGAATCAATTTTTGGTCGACTGTTAGCAAACGCGGCACCCATCTTGCACAGAGCTTTTCCATATGCAAATGTTGGTGCAAAATATGTTGCACACGTTCATATGACATCTTACAGGTCTCAGCTATCTCACGCACTTTCAATCTGCGGTCTCCCAGCACTATTTGATGCATTTTTTCGATCATATCTGGAGTTGTGACCTCAACGGGGCGTCCTGAGCGAGGCCCATCAGAGGTGCTCACACGACCCTTTTTAAACTCGGAAACCCACTGCTTAACGGTTGAATATGACGGGGAGGATGTCCCCAGTGTTGAGTCCATCTCTTTTTTAATTTCCTTCGGCGTTAACCCCTTCAAATAAAAGTATTTGATGACAGCACGATTTTCCTGCTTTTCCATTTTTACGAAAACCACAGAGGCGTCTTGTTCAGTGTGCTGTCAAACCTACACTAGCAAGGAGATCGGGCTGAAACTATAGCTACAAGCTATCCAAGGATGGTACTATAGAATGTCACCTCAAGGTAGGCCTAGTGGCGTCATCTCTTGGTTAGGCCGGAAACTTATCAATCCACCCTCGTATATAAGACACTCAAAATACGTTGTCCAGGATGTATACAATCATTGCACGTAGCCTTATTATTACCTCAATTGGCTATCCAGAAAGCTCGTCATCTTCTGCGTTTGTACGACCACATCGAAACCTAGCAAAATTCTCTCTCCACAACTCCGGGGTATTGGTCACTTTTCGACCCGAAACAAGACATTCATAACTCTACAAAACGCAAGCTGGTACAAATCGCGATCTTTTACAACAAATCTGATCAAAACTACCCCCGAATGAGTACCTTAGACTTTTGAAATTGTTTTCCCGGCCCAGAAATATGAGTTACTCATTTTTCGACGAAAAGGAAGAAAAAAAAAAGCATTATCACCTACGAAAGGCAGGTTTTTACTGCAGTTGTCCACAAATAAAGAAACATTCTGATGTCGGTAAGAAAATGGCCAGCAAATTTTCAAACCTTTCCCAAATTTCTTTTCTGCAGAACTCATTGCAAAAAACATCAGTAACCATAAAACTCTCTATTTCTTATCCTTTTTGGGTAACAGAACTGTTTTTCTACGATAAAAAGGTACGGCATATAGGTAGCACCCCGAAATTTAATTTTTTATTTTATTATTACATATAAATGCAAAACTATCGGCCCAGTTCTAGAACTGTAAAACTATCGCTAGGGGTACACAACTCACAAGAAAACTCAAAATTGATGAATTAGAGGTGTCAACTTGGCGATAAATGTTCTTCAGAACAGATGGAGTGTTTTTTAAAGATTAATGCAGATAATAAGAGATTCTCAGAGCAAAATGAAAATTTTAACCGCACCTTTAGCTTTAATAGAAGGTCACTGACTTATCTGTCAATCTGAAAATTGAGTCAGCTTCACCGTCAAATTTTTTGGTCTCCTCAAATCCTTATAATCTAGCAATCGACATGTTCCCTTGATGAGAGTCCTTATCTGCTCAGCGTACCATACAAGGACTAATCTCATAATTCCCGTTCACTGATTTTCTCTTCTTCATGATATGTCACCCTTTCTTGTAAAAATCTGATGCAAGACTACATATGTAAGACAAAATACGTACATAATTATGATTAAAGTTTCTTGAGATTTTTGAGACATTCCGTTTCTTTAGCAGATATTTTTTATACGGTAAAGCAATAACTTTTCAGAAAATTATTGATTAATTAGAAAAGTAATGTCATTAACAACATTAAAAGATAGGGTTACAGGGAGTGATTATTTAATCCAGATTACTAAGGGACTTCGAAGTCTACCTGAGTCTACAATAGATATTTTTCCCTAAGAAGATTTATACGTAATTTTATTTTATAAGTTTGTTATA